TCAAAAAAAACAAAAAACTGGCAGCAGTTGGAAACAACACAAACTGCTGAAGACATAGGGGGATTTCTCTGGCCGCTTAAAAAAGAGCCAAGAGGATACCCACCATGAGATGGTCACAAACAGTGGTTTCACTGAGTTTTTCACATTTTATATTCATTTTTTTTTTTCATTTATTGTTTTGTTAATTTAAAAATGGGTGGGCTTTCCCAGGAAAAGGCAAGCATAAGAATTTCAATACACAAGGGGGGTATATTTGACAATAAAATCTTTGAATTTGAAAAAGAGCCAAGAGGATATCCACAACGAGATGGTCACAAGCAGTGGGTTCACTGTATTGTGCCTGATCTCTAAGATCCAACAAACAGAGGATACCATCCCCAAAGAACATTAGATCCTTATCACCAGGATCCCAGAATTAGAGGACAACAAAACAGTCCTTGAAAACATCTGCCTGTACTTAAAAAAAAAAAAGATCTGAAAAAAAGATCTAAATAAGAAAGATCTAAAAAAAAAAAAAGATCCAAGTAAGACAGAAAAAAAAAAAAAAAAAAGATCTAAATAAGAAAGATCTACAAAAAAAAAAAAAGATCCAAGTAAGACAGATCTAAAAAAAAAAAAAAAAGATCTAAATAAGAACGATCTAAAAAAAAAAAAAAAATGACAGAGGGATTCTCTGGCTGCTTCAGAACCTAACTCACAACTGGTCTGAACTTCAGCTTGTTATTTCACTTTTACTGTACTGTTGATTTATATTACACATTTCATTTCATTTTTTTACAAACTGCTCAGTTTTGCACATTTCCCTTACGTCATTTCTGCCTTATTTTTATTTCAAGTACATTTATTTTTTAAAAAAAAATTTTTTTTTTAATTGGTCGGCTTTAATTAACTGTACTGTTAATTTATATTTCACCCATTTCATTTCATTTTTTTTTACAACCTGCTCAGTTTTGCACATTTTCACTTACCTCTTTTCTGCCTTATTTTTATTTCATGTACATTTATTTAAACATATATATATATTTTTTTTATTTTTATTGGGGGGCTTTAATTAACTGTACTGTTAATTTATATTGCACTCATTTCATTTTCATTTTTTTTTTACAACTTGCTCAGTTTTGCACATTTCCCCTTACCTCATTTTTGCCTCATTTTTATTTCATGTACATTTATGTAAATCATTTATTTTTATTTTTTTTATTTTAAAATTGGTCGGCTGTCCAGAAAAGGCAAGCATAAGAATTTCAATACACAAGGGGGGTATATTTGACAATAAAATCTTTGAATTTGAAAAAGAGCCAAGAGGATATCCACCAAGAGATGGTCACAAGCAGTGGGTTCACTGTATTGTGCCTGATCTCTAAGATCCAACAAACAGAGGATACCATCCCCAAAGAACATTAGATCCGTATCACCAGGATCCCAGAATTAGAGGACAACAAAACAGTCCTTGAAAACATCTGCCTGTACTTAAAAAAAAAAAAAAAAAAAGACCGGCAGACAGAGATGGACGAAATGAGGCGCAAGATGCAGGACAAGGAGACAAAGAAATAGGAGAGAGAAGAAAAAGGAGATAATCCAGGACGTCAACATCAACGTGCCTGAGACTAGACACCTGTAAGAACACCTTCCTTCACCTCCCACTCCATCCTACCTCATCCATCTACCCTGAAAAAAAAGAAATTCTGAAAAAAAAAAAAAAAAGACCGGCAGACGGAGATGGACGAAATGAGGCACAAGCTCCAGGACAAGGAGACAAAGACATAGGAGAGAGAAGAGAAGAAAAAGGAGACTATCCAGGACGTCAACATCAACGTGCCTGAGACTAGACACCTGTAAGAACACCTTCCTTCACCTCCCACTCCATCCTACCTCATCCATCTACCCTGAAAAAAATATTCTGAAAAAAAAAAAAAAAAGGACCGGCAGACGGAGATGGACGAAATGAGGCACAAGCTCCAGGACAAGGAGACAAAGACATAGGAGAGAGAAGAGAAGAAAAAGGAGACTATCCAGGACGTCAACATCAACGTGCCTGAGACTAGACACCTGTAAGAACACCTTCCTTCACCTCCCACTCCATCCTACCTCATCCATCTACCCTGAAAAAAATTCTGAAAAAAAAAAAAAAAAAAAAGACCGGCAGACGGAGATGGACGAAATGAGGCACAAGCTCCAGGACAAGGAGACAAAGACATAGGAGAGAGAAGAGAAGAAAAAGGAGACTATCCAGGACGTCAACATCAACGTGCCTGAGACTAGACATCTGTAAGAACACCTTCCTTCACCTCCCACTCCATCCTACCTCATTCATCTAGCCTGAAAAAAAAATTCTGAAAAAAAAAGATCTAAAAAACAAAACAAAAAAACAGGGATACTCTGGCTGCTTTAAAACCTAACTCGCTTGTCAGGATTTCACTTGTACTGTACTGTTGATTTATATTACAGATTTCATTTAATTTTTTTACAACCTTCTCAGTTTTGCACATTTCCCTTAAGTCATTTCTGCCTTATTTTTATTTCATGTACATTTATTTAAATATGTTTTTTTTTTTTTTTTAATTGGTCGGCTTTAATTAACTGTACTGTTAATTTATATTGCACACATTTCATTTCATCTTTTCATTTTTACAATCTGCTCAGTTTTGCACATTTCCCCTTACCTCATTTCTGCCTTATTTTTATTTCATGTACATTTATTTAAATGTTTTTTTTTTTTTTAATTGGTCGGCTTTAATTAACTGTACTGTTAATTTATATTGCACACATTTCATTTCATCTTTTCATTTTTACAATCTGCTCAGTTTTGCACATTTCCCCTTACCTCAATTCTGCCTTATTTTTATTTCATGTACATTTAAGTAAATATTGTGCCTGAGACTGGACACGTGGAAGAACACCTTCCTTCACCTCCCACTCCATCCTACCTTATCCATCTCAAATAACAAATAAAGGAAATGTTTACCCCAATCTGCTGTCTACTGGTTATCACTAGATTGTACTTACAGACCAACTTATTTTACTGTTCACTACAGTGATTCACTTATTGATGACACATGTAGACATTAGTAATTGAAATATATGTATTAACTTGGACAGTAAATGTTGAACACAGATACATCAACCGATTTGTATAGTCCTATACAAACAAAAATGTTACAGAAATAAAGACATCTAAATAATTAAACTAATGAATATTAAAACCAAATATAAAGAATAAAATGATAATATTTCAATGTACAAAGTCACAAATGCAAGAAACCAATATATAAACTAATTACAACATGAATATTACAAATAATTGGACTTAAAATGCTAGATGGAACTTTTCTGTGTGGCATCCAGTTCTAGCTGAAAGAACTTTGTCTTTCGTGCGGCCCTTCTTTTGCCCCGGTTGTTGTTGTTGTTCCTGTTTATGTTGCTGCTGCTTTTCCATGATGTTGGGTACAATCTTCTCAATAGAAGCTTGTGTCAGCATCTGAACAGGTGGAGGTGGGTGAACAAATGCAACAGACATCGTAACAACCTGCACACTAGTAGTCTCACTCGCCTCTGTCAGAGAGTGACAGAGTTTCTGCCTCTCTTGCAGTTTTTCTGGACTGACGTTTAAAGAGGAACTGGTGTTCAACAATTTGCTGAGGTGCTTTACATATTGTAGAACATGTAGTTTTGTTGTCGGGTGGAGCATGCTGTTGGGGTCTGTGCAGGAGTTGTGAACTAGAGCAGCGTAGTCCTGGTCCACAAGCTTCAGCATGTCCTTCTGCTCACGGTGTTTGTTGAGCAGCAGGTCGATAACTGCCAGCGACGGCGGACGTAGAGTTTCTACAGGAACAAAAGACAGAGTATTATAAGTCATTCTGACCTATAGAATCAAATACTTGTATAATAAATATAAACTTTCATTAAAAGCTCATGAAAGACTGGTATTTGTATGTGAATGTTTATTTAATAACACCCTAAATATATTTTCACATCTTGTAAAAAAATGGATAAGTGACACAAATGTATGGAGACAAGATGTATGGAACAACCTTGAACCTCCGACTGGGTAGCGAGTGGATCACTTTGAGGAGGTGGATTCGGGGCCTGGGTGTGATCTGTCTTGCTGTTGTGCTTGTCCCAGTCCAGAGGAACTGAGCAAAGGAACTGTACTGGGCGGGATGCCACCGACACACACTCACGGAGGAACCGCCTCATGCAGTGAAACAAGTCCAGCTTGATATTAATGTTTGCATTAAAATGTGATGGTTGCCAGACGTGACATTGGCAATCTGTTGTTCTCCAAGAATCCCATTTCAGATGTTCTCCTGCAGACGACTCTGCCACCTTAAGTGCAACACAGCAATCCCTGAAAGAAAAAAGAAAAGGAAAGCCATCAATGTGACAGCAGTCATATAGACCACCATGTGTGCTCCAGTGGATATGGTCATCAAAATAAAATTGAATGCAAAGGGCTTTTCTTTAATGAAACTGAAAACAATGAAAAGTAATCTAAGTTGTGACTATGAGCTGTTTGTGTCACCAATGATGGTCAAAAATATTGATATAATTTACCTGTCTACCCACTGTTATTGTGCCTTTTCTATGCCTGCAGCGCTGCAGCGCTGTGCCAGTCCCCAGTACATGGGCTTCAGGGACTTAAATTAACTTTAAGTTAAATTAACTTTTTTTAAAGTAAGATTAAAACTAGTCGTGATGCCAAATATTTCATATAGTATCCTAATCATTGAGGCATTAATGTGTTTACATTTGACTGACTTTAAACAATTCTGGTGGTTTAATCTATTACAAGATCCTCGTTTATTAGTTGAGTAACATCTGTGATATGCAACTAGTAATTAATGCAGTCAAACACACGTGAACACAACTATAAACTAACATGTTGCGTGACACCAACATAAATTAAATTTATAGACATGCTGCATATTTATCTGAATAATTATTACACATTATATGTCATTGACTTACTGTGTAGTGACTTCCTCGTAGCGCGAGGTCCAACGAAGGTGCACCGTCGCTTCGGTGCTCTTTCCCGGGTAGACTGACGGAGAATGTCCGGAGAAACGCTTTACATCCGGGCAAACGCTCGGTCCGCACAACAGCGCCACCGGTGGCCAAAGATATATTACACCCGTAGTGGTTTAGCACAACCATAGAGAATGAATGGGTTTTGGTTTGGGGATTTTATCTAAAGAATTCACCTCCACAACTTTGTACACCTCACGAACGGCAAACCGCCGTTTGCGGAGATCTCCCTCCATGAATCAGAGGCCATCCGCGCGTCCTTTTAGTCCGCCAATGACGGCTTGTATAAGCGGTCATACTTACGCATTTCTTCCGACAAAAGTTCTTCAATCTGCTCCGTTCTCTCGTAAAACATTCTTCGTTTTAATAATGGCGGTATTGTGCTATGAAAACGGAAATGTGAGACTCCGTAAAGGACGTAGTTAGCGGACCAATGGCTTGCGTCGCGTGCGTCACCTAGAAAAAATGGGTCGACGCGCGCAGGGAGGTGTGAAAAGGGCACGCAAAGGACACGCAAGGGGTTCATTAGTGTTTCCAAAAAGCAAATTCCTCAGAATTCCAAGAAGAAAAGAAGTCTGAAACACTTGCAGCTCTTGGCTTTATCCTCCAGATGTCAGTCTTGGTGATGCATCGAAACACCTTCTCTTAGCAACTTCTATAAAATGAACACAAAAACCTCATCAACATATGTTTTAGAAAATTTGTCAGAAGCAAAATCTGGTTATGTTCTGCATCTTGTCCTGTCCAGTTTAAAAAAATACCCATGAATTACACATGGCAGGTTTACTTGAGAATAAACACAATTATATTTGACTTGTGATAACCCCAACAAATAAATAAATAATGAATTCACAGTTATTATCAGAATTGTGCTCTGACCTCTGAAACATAATTGTTGTCTGTGGGGATATATCAAATTATAAAGGAACAATTGATTAGATAAAGCTAATTTATAAACAGAAAAACTCCCAAATTAACGCCCAATTCGATTTTACAACTGGGGAAGTTACTTTCCGGACCTATTGCATGATTATCATGATGCTCATATGAGTCGAATGTGGCTGATTCAATTTGATTCTTCATCTTAATACACAATTGGTCTCAGGCATACTAAATGTTTCCACATTACCGTGCATGCAACAATCTTTTAAAGCTCTTTTGTATTGTCGCTCAATATCGTCCATTCATTCAAGTAGTATTTAGTAATAACATTGGTTCACAGTGCTAAGGTCAGGGTGTCCTGTTAGGTGCTGTTTACATGCATGGGCTCATTCCCTCTAATGTTCTGTTTTTTTCTTCTGAAGTAGAAGACCTCAGGTCAAGCTGCCCTCCTCCTTGGTCCAGCGAGAGGGCTTTGAAAGCCAGACACAGAAGAGGCAATCATCCATCTATACCTGAAATTAGCTGCTGTCTTCATTTAATGCACCGCTGAGGTTTCATTGATCAGTGCAGACTGGCATGAGCCCAAGTCCCAAGAGCTACAAGTCCATCTCCTATTTCCCATAACTGTGGAACCATCTTCAATAATAAGGACCAAAGAGCATTGTGATCATTAATATGTATAAGTGGTTTAGCAATAGTGTTTAAAATGTAAAAGATGGAGTAATATTAAAGGGAACCATTGACCAAAATCCTTTCTTCACTCCCCTTTTCGGCCGTGCGTTGAATCCCAAAAAAACCCCACAATGGCAGTTACATTGTCTCACACGTAAGCTTACGTAGTGTCACATTTCTTAACCCGATGACACTTCACATACAACTATAATAACAGGACTCACACAAAGTCATTGTTCAAAAGGAAGGACGCTCCCACATTTAGAAGCTAAAGCAAATGTGCTGCCCGTCCTTTCCTCCCTCACACAAACATGGGCCCTCGTCTGGTCTCCTTAAAAGACTTTTAAGTTCGAAGGAGGCGTGTTTCCGTCCACACGTTGAAGGCTTTTTTAGAAGCCGTATGGCTGGATGTGGCTTTTTGCAGCGTTATGGAAAGTAATGGCCTTTGTCTGAAATGTCCGCTGAAGCTTCTACTCCTAAGAGACGAAAACCAGCAGCTCCTTCTCTAAAAGGCCGGACGGATTTCTGTATTTTATTTACAGCTGCACAGCTTTTCATTTGCATTTTCTGCCCTAATTTGTGAAACCTTTGAATGGCAACCGTCTAATGAGAAGCTGGTGAAGCACATCCTTGACTGTATAAAGGCAGACGTGAGTGACTTTAATCTGGAGTGAGAATCTGATCTGTACTGTGCACAAATGTTTGCTTATGATGCACATGTTGTTTTATTCCTTCTGATGTGCTGCAGCTCTGCAGTAACGTACATTTCTTTTTTATAACTATAGACTGTCATTCTTGTTTTGAGGTGTTATGTAAATCAAACTGCATGTCTGATGCTTTATGCTTTATTCTCTTTTAAACGTCATGAAAGGGTCGATTGTCCATTTGATTTATTCGGACTTGCGGAACTCCACTGATTTTACACATCGAAGTCATTTACCAGGGTGCAGTGAAGTACTAGTAACATTTATATGAGGAGCCCTTAGTCTCTCCAATAACAGTGTTTCATGCGTGGAATTCAAAGTCTTAAATGAAGTAAAAATCCCCTTATTTCAGACATGTCGACAGTTATGTAGTCAACACACACGTTCTCCAAAAAACGCTCTGATAACAAGCACAGAATCGGAAAACAAGTCCGTCCTCGTGCTGACGGGGCACGTCGATGCAAACGCAAACAGACCAAAATCTACAGGCCTCCGTAAGCAGCCTGACCTCCGTGGATGTGGGGCAGAGTTCATCAGTCGGAGGAAACGAGGTGTCGACGCCCCAATGATTGAACTGTACTTAAAAAGGTAAGTAAGAGAGCAAAGGTGGACGTTCTCCTCGCTCCTCCAGTCCTTGTGGGGCGGATAACGGGTGTGACCTCAACAGCAGCAGCCGAGGACGAAGACGACGGGTTCCAGGTTCACGCGACACAAGCATACGCTCAGTGTTTAGCCGTAATGAAACTGGTGCTCTAATGAAAGAAGCACCAACGTCGGGCCTCGAGCGCTGGAAGCATCTCCAGAGGTTTCTTCAGCAGAAAACACGCGTTGTGACGTCAGACAAACTCAATATGCGATGTATATATCGTCCTTTAATTATTCAATAAGTCATTTTATCTGGATTTGGAGCTGGAAAAAAAGTTTTTACAACAACTGAACATTAAGGAAAACACAGCAGTTCTAATTTATTTTACAATAGATTTTGGGAAAAAGGAAATGCGGAGAAGTGTAGAAAAGTTTGGTTTTATTGAACGTCTTAGAATTCACTTCAAGTTGTGACCTTTATAGAACTCTTCTAGGTCCTCGCCAAGACTGCTTTCAGATTCAAAAATCAACTGACGAATTCAGTGGAACCGAGTCACTTCAAACTCGTTCATTCTACAGCTTGAAACATGTCGCTGCAGAGATTTCTCTCTGACATCAACACGTCACGCTTTAAAAAAAACGCCTCCCCGCCCGGAGAGAAAGCCAGTGACGTCTGCAAAGTGAGCCTAGAGATATTTAAATGATTTCATTGCAAACACATGTCGGCTAAGCACGTTTGACTGACACACACACACACACAATTTCATTAAAACAGGAAATCTTTACAGGGTCCGAGTGCTGCAGCTCGTCCCCATCGGGATGTAGCAGATGTCCACGAGCATCAGCTACATCCCCACGCCGGACGCGTGTCCCGCTCGCACTACGTCTCTACACGACGACATCCTGACACGCGGGAGGAAAAGAGAGTCCAGAACCGGCTCGGCTGCTTTTCCCCGGGCCGCCGCTACGGAGCGGCGAGCGAGTCCATGAAGGCGTCCGGGTGGCACCGCATGTACTCGTTGATCTTCCTCTTGATCTGTTTGGGCGTGTCCTGGTAGTAGTTCTTCTCATCCTGGGCCATCGCCTGCAGGGAGAACAGACAACACGGCTGCTCATTTGCTTCCAGCTGCATATATTGTCTTAGGAGACCTTTTCGGTGGCGAGAAACTTCTTAGAAGAATTAGAGGACAACAATGACGCCCCAGTGAGGTTTCCAATGGTCATTACATACCAGACAACGGTATGGATTTATTTCAAAAGCAGGATTCAAATATCAGTACGGATCAATATATCGGCTTTGTTTAATGGATCGCAGCGCAGAAAGACAGACCAGAAGATCAGTTATCTGACCGATATAATCCAAACTAACAACTCCAGAGCATAAATAAAGTCCAGGTGTGAAAGTCATGCTTTTAAAAACAAAATATTCTGCATCCATATTGTCTGGCGTTTCAAAAACAAGATGTCACTGCGATCAGAAAACTATTTGCGTTTTATTCATTAAGGGTTTTTTTTGTTCATTAAATCCAATAAATCTTTTCATGAGCAACAGGTAAAACAATGAGATATTTCCCTCTAAACTAAAGCGGTGCCTCACTCTGCCCGTCAGACTTTTAAAAGGGGTGGAAACCTTTTTATTGTAGGATATTTTGTAGCCCAGAGAACCACGTGCACGCAATTCCCTCCGTTATGGACTGAGTGGGACTTTAAAGCGAATGTTGAAACGCCGTCTGAACGAGGCACTTCTCCGAGGAAGGACCAGAAGCCTCCTTCGGGTCCGGCTGCTGCTCTCACCTTGAAGTCGTCGTTGTGCTCTCGGATCATGTACTGAGCGTACTCGATCAGATCAGAGGACAGCGTCTTGCAGTCTCTCTCTGGAACGTTGGCCTCTTTCTGCAACTCTGCAGCCACAAAAACATTCGCTTTGTGAAACAAGAAGAATCTTGTTTGCATTTAACAGTCAATATTTTTCTCCTATTTTTCCTTTTAATTTTCTTCCAAATGGTATAAAAATGAATGTTAAAACTCAATGTGAAAATACGCAAATCATCGGTTTGTCTCTTGTGTTGAAAGCACAGTTTTGTGTTGAAACTGTTACAGGCGGAATGAAAGTCATTCAGCGCTTTGCTGCTGAAGGCCGTCTCCTGTGAGCACCCACGCCACCAAGCCCGATAACAAAGAACCGCTGACGGTGAAGCTCTGCACGCATTTGAATCGCTCCAAATCGGGGAAATATGAACACGCACGTTCAATCTCAAATAGAAACCAGCAAAACAAAATGAAGGCGCACATTACTTTCCATCAGGACTTACGGTTGAGTACGTAGGGCTTGGTCACGATGCCGGTGGGGGCTTTCGTTGGTTTATCCGGGCCGAGGAGCTAAACGTGTAAACGAAAAACATCATGAAGGAAACAATGGACGTCACGGCTTAACTGAAGGTAACAAGAGTCCTTCTCCACAGAATCATTCATTACACATGAAGGGGGGGGGCGGTATAATTTGAGGGTCTCTCAGTCTCAACTAAATAAAAAGCACAGGGTGCAAGCCTGTGGTTTTATTGATCTTTCTGCATAATGTTTAATCCTGATAGCAGACTTTCTTTTCCAAAGGAAAAGCTACAGAACACGAGTTTTGTGTTTTTTAAAAATTGAACCTGCTGGATACATTTCTTCAATATTATTTAAACAACAGATTTATTTTACAAACCAGTGCGTAGTTAAGTACAACTGGACGTTTTGCGAGGACACACAACAGTGGATCATTACAACCGTCACTGGACTGGGAAACAGATTTCTGGTGATGCTGCTCAGCGTCTTTGTCTGGACAGGAGACGCCCAAGTATCGCTCTATTAAAGTCTGCTTGACTGTGTTGCGCCGTTTTAGAGGAACCACGTGAGCTAAATAAAAGAAAACAAGATGAATAAAACCCCAGGGAAGCTACAACCGAACCACAGCAGGTACTTACGCTGCTTTTCTTTATTGGCACCGTGCGGTTTGGATCAAAAGCCAGACCCATCAGAACCCAGCAGGTTCTTGGCCGTGGACTTTTTGTTGTCCCACGCATTTCGAATCTGTGAACTGAGTGAGAGGACAAGTCAGACGCACAATGTCGCAAAAACGTACACACTCAACAGTCCTTCTGCAGGATAAAGCCAAAGGAAATGTGAAAAACCAGTTACGTTTTAACGCCGTAAACATGGGACTGAAAGAAAGGCTCAGGCTCTGTGATTGTAGATCTAAATTTATTGGTTAAACAAAAAAAGTTTCATATAATGAGAACTATCAACTTTTTCCAGGAAAGGTTTTTTTTGTTTCCATTTAAATCTTGGTATATTCAATATGACTAAAAACAACAACACTGCACAGTACAGAACTGTGATAATATGTATCATACGTGTAATGTGTAGCATACGATATTACATGAATATGCGTCATCAAATCTCCCTAAAATATCCGTCAGGAATTCAATGGAGACATTTAGGGCAGTCGTCATGGAATAATAATTGTATGTTGTTTTTACTCTCATACGGGCTGAATGATTAATCCATTGAAAGAAAAACGGATCCATATTCAATTAATTGTTAGCTGTAGTACACGCTCATGTGTCTGAAATTGAATTATACAACATTGTTCGAAAAAGCAGCATTTAAGCATTCAAAAACACGTTCATTATCATTGTAGTAAGTATTTGCAATCAAGACATTTAAATATTAACGGATATATGTATTTCTCCTTGGCATCATCATGCTCGCTGTTAGCCAACATTAGCTAACATGCTAACGTGTAGCTGCTCGCTTACTTTTCTATCCTGGGGTTGTATTTCTTGTTGGACCGTTTCATCATCTTCTTCCGGTCCTGGTTGTAGTCGAACTTTTTTCTCTTCGATGACTTCTTGGCTTTCGGCATGTTGGTGAATTGTTTCTGTTTTTACAGAACACGCTTGAGGTTTGTTGGTAATATAAGGGAAAAGGCAACGTGCTGAAACCGGATGTAGGTTTGTTGTGTTCCGGCCATGTGACAGGAAGTCCCCTTTGCACTGATCAGGATCCTTCTCATTGAATCTGGGCATTAAACGCAAATGAGCGCCAACATCGAACACAACCCGCACGGACTCAGAACAGACACTGAAAGCTTAGTCACAAATTAAACTCAATTTATACAGCTGCGTGTCTAGTTTCATTTTGTTCTGCCGAATATTTTCTATCTGAATTTTCTGCTTCGTTTCCACGAAAAGAAAAATCAAAGGGTTGGAGCCGAGTGGATGGACAAGGCTAGGTGTAAGGTGGGGGGTGGTGGAAAAGAAAAAAAGACAAAAACAAATGAGTGGAGAGTTATAATAAAAGGAAAACAAATAAACAAAATTACAATAAGATAAAAATCCATTCAACAATGCACAGGGACACAGCCCTGGTTAAACCACAGGCGTGATAAATGTTTAAAGGAGCTGATCTGGCGCACGGTATGAACCGGGGACGCCGCGGAGACGAAGAAAACCGCAGCGACCCCAATCCGCTCATCACAGCAACTCCCAATTACAGGAGAATCCCGTTAAGCCTAGTTTATGCTTCTGCGTTTTCAGAGCGACGCAGACGCGTGTCCCTTGCGTCGCTTTTCACACCTCCTCGCGTCCTCGCGTGTGTCGAGACATTTTTCGGGGCTTGCGTCGCTTTTGACAGCGCACCAGGCTGCGATTGGTCCGCTAACTGCGTCCTTTACGGAGTCTCACATTTCCGCTTCCATAGCCCGATACCGCCATTATTAAAACGAAGAATGTTTACGGGAGAACGGATCAGATTGAAGAGCTTTTGTCGGGAAGAAATGCGTAAATATGAGCGCTTCTACACGCCGTCATTGGCGGGTTGGATTCACGGAGCTCCTCAAAACGTGCACGTATTTACGGGACATGCATATTCACAAAGTAAAAAACTGCGCATGTAGGTGGACCGGGGATACAACTTAAACATCGTGGATGGGAATTTGTTATATTAAATGTTTACGTTCACCACTTCGAATACTCGAAAGTAACTAAAGCTAAACGGGTTTTAAATGTTGCTGTGTGTTATTGATCCGAAGAACGCAACAGGCACGCGATTCCTACGTCAGCCGCACGGGGGAGACAAACTACCACACATTTACAATGGAATGTGTCCAAATGTCATTATAAACACTGCAATATAAGTATTGCAGATACATTACATGTCATTTAGCTGACTCTTTTATCCAAAGCGACTTATAATGCATTTTTACCCCATGGTTTTACATTTTGCCCGGGGAGCAGTTAGGGGTTGGGTGTCTTGCGCAGGGACACTTTGACACGGGACATGTCGCCCCAGTTGTCATTTACAGGAACATTTTTATGATATAGAATTAATATGCCATCGTCTTTCAGACGGCACATCCCTCTTTTAGAATTTGTCTTCCTAAGTCTCAGATTTAACTAAAGATAACTGGGACAAAATTGTAATTCTATAATAAACTCTTGTTTAGTTGAATCTACAGCTTTGCATAATATTCTATAAAATCCCCATTTATTTTTACTCACCACCGTTTTGTGAGAATCTCTAAAAGCGTCGACTTTTCATGAGCTCAGCCTCGTTTTCAGCTACGATGACGATGCATTTTCCTGCTGATGCAAGAAGAATTAGAAATAGTTTAAGAAGGCACCCTTCAGTTGATGCAAAGCTTTTACTGGACGGAAGGGGAATCTGCCTCCAACCCGCCCCAACACACAAATCCCTGCAGTGACGCTTCCCAAAGCAGGAAGCCTGAATCCAAAAGAGCGGCAGGCCGTTGCTGCAGAGTGGACAAGCCACATTATGAGCTCATTTCGGGAAGCAGCCAGTCAGCAAATTCAGCGAGCGAGAGAAGGCTTTAAAAGCCCACTTAGACGTGAAGCCGTCCGTATTACGCCGCTTTTCTAATGATGCTCTTTGTTTGTTGCCATTCGTCTGATGCGATATTTGCTCTCGTGTGCAAACCCGCGGCCTCATCCCGCCCGCCTAATAGCTCGGAGAGGACGAGCAACGAGGGAGAGAGACACCATAAAAAAAATGGGGGGGAAAAAAGCAATACTAAAAAAAGGAGTAGGGACAATTGGATTACCTTTTTTTGTTGGTAACGGCGCTTGGCTCAATAAAGACCCTTTAATGGGTCTCTGTGAAACGTGATAGCCGGTGTCCCTCCTCACCCATGTACGGCTCACGAGTGGAGGGGAATACTGATTGGATGCTGACTGACTCTAAAAGTGGCCGGCGATGGAGCGCCGAAACATTAACAGGTTTTTCACTTTGCGATTTAGAGGTTTATATCATTGCAGTAATGCCTCTAAGAGGCCATAACATGTAAAGTGGTCCTCTCAATGTATTCAAAGTTGTCTCTGTACCTCCCTCGCTCTTTCTCTCTCTCTCCCTCACTCTCAGAGCTGGCGTGATAAGTTGAGCGTTATACGACGTCCCTTGAGACTCAAGGAAATGGGCCACGCTGAGAAGCAACATTACTCCAGCCATGAATAAATCACTGCTGGCTAAAAGCTATCACAGCTTGTGTGTTGTCAGATGAAATGATTATGAGATTAACATTTAGTAAGAGTGTGTTTTAGCGCCATCAGTCACGGGGGATGATTAAAGTCATGAAAAAAAAAAAAAAAACCCATAGAGGAGGTGACAAGAGAGTCAAATGAGAAGGCTCCGGGCACGGAAGGCTCCCGTGGAGGAAACCATTACGGCTCGAATGAGCAGCCTTGCCCTTTATTGCAAAACCCAGTCCAGCGCTACCAACTCTCAGCGCTACCCGCAAAAACGTCCAATGATTTAATTTGGGCCCGAGGGAAATTATCGGGTTACGGTCCTGCAGCAGCAACAAATTCTGGCGCAGCGGGCGGAATAGTTTCCATCTTTTGAATGCGGCTTTCACTGAAGATTGTCGCTGCTCTCCGCCTGAAATCTGAGCCGTTTTGGTAAGGTGAACACGGCCAGGAAGCACTGTGAATCCACCCACCCAGTCACATGGTCTTCCACATCCCCGTCCCCCCCCCCTTAGCTTTGCGTTGTCCTCAGCTGATGGTGTCCTCAGCACTCTTATGAAAACCTCCGGGCCTCTAAAAAAGCACCTGCTTCTCCAGCGGAGCAAATGTGACTGAAAGCCAATTATCCTGCCTGTCACAGAAGAAAATGGAAAGAGGCGTCGATGGAAAAATTCCCCCCACTGTCTCATTTCCTGCCACTCCGAGGAACATGAAAGGACAAACAGGTCCGCTTTATGCGGGGGACTATCTGCAGGCGGGAATCTGATAAGCCACGGGGGCTTCCAAGAAAGGAGGCCGCAACACAAGCTGCCTCCGCTGCACCTTTTCCCCACAAACACACAACCCTTTACGTCACTGAAAAAAGTACTTTCACAAGATGTGATCACAGTGTCTAAGCAGCCAGGTGTTAGTTGATTAGTTAACTGGACTAACCGATGGCGAAACAAAGCATCCTTTGTACTCGAACCCGGTTGTAAATGTCGCGGCGGTTCTGTAGAATCATGCGACGAAATATCCACCGGACGGATGAAAAGCCAAAGACAAAGATTGCCGACCTCACAGAAAGCACTTCTTGGCTCTCAGGGGTTTAATCATTACCTCAGCGTTGCAGCCAATGATGAAGACGTCTGCTCTGACAGAGACAGACAGAGACAAAGCGACTGGGAAACCATAAATGTAGTCAGAGGTAAAGCTGCAGCGGTGAGGAGAGACATTAAGCCGTCGCAATGCATTCATTCTGAAAACCACACATTTATATTTCAGAAGATGGTGTTTTCCCCCCACAATAGATACCGTCTAACTCCGTCCGCCGTGTCTCCCGGGACATCGCAGACGGACGGAACCAAGTCGGTCAGGATCCAGTCGCTCGCCATGCAGGGCAACATTAATGAGATGATTACGTTGTGAATGTGCTTACTGCACTGGCATCATACAAACACCTGCTTCACACCAATCGCATTCATATCTCATGCAATCCACCTTCAATGCAGCACATTTATAATTCATTCGTACAATCCGAACTCTCTTCATTGGATTTAAGCATCTTCCAATATGTTATCCGGCAGGCCGGGCCCTCGCTGTAAGAGTTGTGCTGCCCGCTCACACAGAAACACTGGCCCCGTATTGATTGGATTATAAAAAAAAAAAAGAAATGAAACAGAGAGGATCAATATTTGTCTGAGAGCCCGCCCGAGTTCCCCCCCCCCCTCGACGCCTGTGAGTGCCGTGCATTAAAATGTGGCCGCTCTTAAATCAAACCGCCGGCGAGGAAACACCAAACGACGGAATGATTAAACCCGGATTGATTCCCGTGTTACGTCTGCTGTTTTTCCTGCATAAACGCACCACTGATGCGCAAGGAAGTGTGCGAAATCAGGCCGACACTCCGACTTACTGCTCCGTGACCTTCCGTGGCATTTCTGAAAAGGGCAACTGTGCACGCAGACAGATGCCGCGTCCGCGTGTGCAAATTGATTACGCGGAGGGGACGGCGGCGGCGGCGGCGGCGGCGGGCCGTGTCTGCTATTTAAATTGTTTGCTCTGCACCGTGAGAGCGCCGCTGATGTCGTCGAGTTATCGGGTTGTTTTCAGGTCTTCTGCTGTCAAGTCGAGGCCAGTTTTGCCTCGAGAGTCTCAGCGTTGTGAACTCCGTCAGCGCCGTCCGGCCGACAGCGGCACAAGTCGCCCTTTGAAGAGGAGCAAGTACACTTTCTATGTGACCAGGGTGTTAATGGACTTCAACAGCTATTCATTTACCGACAAAGTCAATTTAAGACGCTAAATCACTGACATTGAACAAACGCCCATTTCGTCCGGAATGACCCTTGACCTCCATTAGCATTCATTGTGTTTAATGGTCTGCATGTTTCACATCGGGTCACTCGGTTACCTTTTGTGTGGAAGGTTGGCGTCTACGAGGAGGAAACATCCTGTTGGAACCACAAGAGGAGGAACACGCACAGACACATTGCTTCAGTTGCACAGAAGGAATGTTTTTTTTTTCCCCGAACTCCGTTACTCATGATGTGTT